ATGGTGGTGCCAGGGACCCAGAGACTGGCAAAGAACCAGCCTGGGTGAAGACAGTGCTGGATCTCTGGTAGTGCGTGTTTATTAAAAGTCAGCAGCTACAGTATTTGTTGCTGCTGACTTTTTTCCAAAGCGAAGTTCCTCTTTAATGGAATATACTGTATCTAAATATGTTTTATTTACCACAGATAATATGGTATTGATCAGATACACCTTTCCAGATTAAAAAGTATAGCTACATTAGTTATTTCAAGTGGCTGTCATTAAATAAATGATTACAATGAATCCATTAATAGTCAATTCAGTCAATAATTAATATATATATAATGAACTGCTAATAAATCATTTCTACATTATACTCAAGTTGAATGAAAAATCTCTCAGGATTTAATGAATTACATGACTAATCCATAGTTTCTTTTCCAATGGACATAAGGATGACGGGCCCCTCCCTTGGTCCTTATATCATCAATTCCAAGGGACAGTTTTTTTATTTTCTAGTGAGAATACAGCATGAGGCACATTACCAATGCGCATTAAGATAAAAGTAAGCATGAATGTGGTGGGGAAGACATGTCATTATAGGAAGGATCTCAAGAAAGGGTTCCCAGATTTCATAAGAAACCACGAATGACCCAACCCACTAGCCTTCATCATTTGTGTAAAGTTAGGGCACATTTAGATCTACAATTAGGTCCAGACAGAAGATTCCTGTGGGTGAGATCAGAACAGCTGTGGCTTGGAACTCTGCACAAAGCAATGATAGGCTGATGGCAGCCACAGCTTCTTGCCTGTTGCCATGTATCCACACGTTGTGCTGTTACTTGCGGTTAGGGACAGATGTTTGGCCCTGGATGTAGACAGATTCTATCCAAAGCTAATCATCCATCCTTAACCACAGGTGACCACTGAATATGCAAATACATGTGAACAGCAGAGGACAGCCACGGCTCCTGTAATTACTTTGTACAGGCATCCCAGCCGCAGCTGTTTGCATACACCTGTGATCCCAGCTGCCCAGGAATCCACTGATTCAGGAATCTGCTATCTAGCCCTAATTACAGGTGTGAATGAGCCCTTACACTTTCAGTTAAAATAAAGAGATCTACAGTTTCTAAATGTTTTATTCTGTTATGTAGCACATTTTTTTTACATAATATGCTTATATAACACACCACTCACTGAGTGCAGTAGCAGTACACAGAGCTAAGCTACATTTGCTAAATTACGCTAATGGACCATTTAATGATTGCATGACATTTACCAGGATGTGGGCTTCCACAACTGCCAATGATGATAATCCAGATCCACAGTATCCGTGTTTTGTGCTTCATTGCTTTCACCTTATTTGTGTTTTATTTATTATTATTTGCATTATATAATCTGCATTTCTTTCTAAAAATCTGTACAAAATTATATATTGCACATTAAGCAAAAGAAATCACGATCACAAATGCAGTGAAAGGCCAAATGTGTATGCCATGCCATGCCAACTGGATCCAAAAACCCATTAATTAATGTATCACCAGATAGTTAGTTTAAATGTCAATCAGGTAGCAAACCACTACATTCTCCTGAAACTTTCATAAAATGAGCATGCTGGGACTGCTGAGCAACCCCATGAACTAATGAAGTAAACATTTGCATCCAATGAGACATGGAAAAGGTCCAGACTATCTGAGCTTACACCTGCAGAAACCTATGATTCAACTCTGAGTCACTGTGCAAACGTTAGCAAAGCAAAGCCAACATCACTGCACAGGACCCATTTCAGCTAGTCCTTTCTTGTCTTGCTGAAATAATGACATTAATGATGCTTACAGAGACATCACGCAGCCTTTACACAGGCCTGTAAATCTTCAGATAATTATTTATTTCTGTGCTAATATACATTTTCTGAGAAAACTGACTTTCCGAGCGATGATCACATAACGTTTCGGTAGGGTTGTCACCTTTTCACCAAAAAATATCAGTCACACTGGGCATGCCTACTTTTAAGAGGTGTTACCTAAACTAGGTTTTTTTCACTGTAAAAAAAATAATCTATCTGCAGCTTGACTGTATTTAGAAATAGACTGAAATGTTTAGATCAACATGTTGACCTTTCAAGTGCACAAAATAAAAAAAGAAATGATAAAGTGACAATAAAGTGATCCTATTGGGGGGCCTAGGTCTATCAGGCAGACTTTTTAAAAGAAAACAGACTTTTAGGTCCACTTCACAATACATGCGGTTCAGTGTGCTTTTTTTCTGCATTAAAAATGCACAGAAAGTAGGTTATATGGTTGTCAATGTCATAGTTCACATCAGTGCTTGCAATTCCAGTTGCAGAGAAAAAAGTAGAACAGGTTAATTTTTCCTGCACAGAACTGTACTGGAACACGGTAAAACACATTAAAAACACACCAGAACGCACTAGAAGGCATCAGGAATGCACTGGAACACACATTTCCCTATTTGAATTGAATTGAGAAGGGGGAAATATGAACCGGATAGCATCAAAAACATACCGGAACGTATCAAAAACATCAAAAATGCATCAAAAACACACATGCAGAATCGCATCTGGAATGCATCTGGACTGCGTTTCTATGGTATAAACAGCAAAACAAAACAGCTTTCTTCAGCGTGTCAAACAAAAACAAAACAGTCCACACCCTGGGTAGCTGAAATAAAGACTTGGCTCACTGCCAGTATAATCAAGTCCCACGCCAGGGTTTAAGATTGCTACCTGCTTGGGGGTCCACACAAGAGCCACAGGAGCTCAGCAGCAATTTCTCAGCAACAGACCAGTCCACAGCGTCCTGCTCTGCTCAACACCTCACAGAAACTTACTGACTGTCCTTTGCAGCCCTCTTCCACAGTCGCGTTAACCCCTTCAGGAACAAAGTTCCTGTAATCAGGGTTGGAGGCTCTTTCCCACCCAAAATCTCCCCAAGCCCCTGAATTTAAGGTCCCTTACTCATTCTGGGAAAACTGTAAATCCTTCTGTCTCTTGTTGCCCCGCTTAAAGGGAGCACAACCCAAATAAAGAAGACGGGACACATACCTGCCTTCCAGGACCTATCCCTTGCGTCCTGTACACGTTACATAATTCCACTAAAGTGACCAGCCTTGGGTAATATACAGTGATGAATGAAATTATCCTAAATAAGCTGTAGCTGTTTATCTACAACCCTCTCTTCACCACAACCTTCTAAAGTACACAGTTTACATGGTATTTCACAGCTTCCTTGAGGCAGGGGGTGGGGATCTGATGTCACTCACTGCACAGCACAGAGCTGAGTGTATTCTGACACCTTAGTGAAGGGAAAGGACACCTCCCCCTCTACACAGTCCAACTGGGAAACATTCACATCTGAGGTTGTCAATCACCTGCTGTGTGCTAGAGGCTGTCTTCAAGAATAGCCTGGTGTCTGGAAAAACTGTCAGAAGTGACACACGCAGATAGCAGAGGAAGGAGGGAGGAGACAGAAGACAGAAGACACACTCAGTGCTATGGAATAAAGCAATTACACACTTTATGAAGATATGCTTAGTTCATTTTTCATTTAGAAGTTTACAAACCACTTTAAAACATAGGAAGTTATGCTGTGTACTTAGTAAATGAGAATAGATGCCAGGAATCATTTCTAGGTTGCAAAATACGTGGTACTATATAGTGTCCATGTAGACATAATATATACAGAGTATTACACCCAGCATACAGAACAAGAGAAGTGTTACTATGGTGATTTTCAGTATCCATACATACAGAATAAGAACATATACTGATAATTACTTTCTGCATATATGACAAGATTAGTGCTAATGTGCAGAGTCCATGTATGATATGGGCACAGGAATGGCCAGTGTGGTTCCCCATCTGGGTCCCTACATGTCGTCGTAGTTAGCCTTGAGTGTAGGCTAAGGGACCTCAAAGTTTAAACTCAGTGAGGGGGCATTGTAGTTTCCTTGATTGCAACTTAAGGTCCTCAGAGTAGTAGTAGGGTGGGACCATTGGGAATGAGGGCCAGTTCTGCATATCCCAGTGCAGTGCATCTTGGGAAGTAGGACTCTTTATAAACAATCTCATGGGAGTCTATGCCGCATTGTCATGGGAGGTGTCTGGAGGATCAAGCCACAGCAAGCATGCAGGCTGTGAGGCTCTATCTCTTCAAGGAGGGGAAAGGCACATGACTATTGGGACTACTTGTATCAGGACCAGATCTAGATATGATCTGAGATATATTTTTAAAAAAGTTAGGGAGACATAGTACAATACACCTTCATTTATTCTTGTGGCTATGTGCACCACGGTGCATGGTAGGTATAGCAATTTTGGACGTAACAGTGGAAGTGGCTTAAAGGGGATGATTAAACAGAACCTGTGCTCATTCCCTGTGTACACTGCACAAACACTATATTGCCAAAAGTATTGGGATGCCTGCCTTTACACGCACATGAATTTTATTATGAATGTCATCCCAGTCTTGGTCCGTAGGGTTCAATATTGAGTTGGCCCATCTTTTGCAGCTAAAACAGCTTCAACTCTTCTGGGAAGGATGACCGCTAGGTTTAGGAGTGTGTCTATGGGAATGTTTGACCATTCTTTCAGAAGCGCATTTGTGAGGTCAGGCACTGGTATCGGACCATAAGGCTTGGCTCACAGTCTCCGCTCTAATTCATCCGAATGGTGTTCTATCAGGTTGAGGTCAGGACTCTGTGCAGGCCAGTCAAGTTCCTCCACCCCAAACTCGCTCATCCATGTCTTTATGGACCTTGCTTTGTGCACTGGTGTGCAGTCATGTTGGAACAGAAAGGGGCCATCCCCAAACTGTTCCCACAAAGTTGGGAGCTTCAAATTGTCCAAAATGTCTTGGTATGCTGACATCTTAAGAGACCCCTTCACTGGAAACTAAGGGGCCAAGCCCAACCCCTGAAGAACAACCACACACCATAATCCCCCCTCCACCGAACTTTACACTTGGCACAAGGCAGTCAGGCAGGTACCGTTCTCCTGGCAACTGCATCCAGTGTTTTGCATTGCACTTGGTGATGTAAGGCTTGGATGCAGCTGCTCGGCCATGGAAATGCATTCCATGAAGCTCTATATGCACTGTTGTTGTACTAATTTGAAGAGTACATGAAGTTTGTAGGTCTTAAGCTATTGGCTCTGCAGACAGTTGGCGACTTCTGAGCACTGTGTGCTTCAGCATGCACTGACCCCGCTCTGTCATTTTATGTGGCCTATCAGTTGCTGTTGTTCCCAGTTGTTTCCACTTTGTTATAATACCACTAACAGTTGACAGTGGAATATTTAGTAGCAAGGAAATTTCACAGATGGACTTATTGCACAGGTGGCAACTTATCACAGCACGACGCCTGAATTCACTGAGCTCCTGAGAGCAACCCAATCTTTTACAAATGTTTGTGGAAACAGTTTGCATCTCTAGGTGCTTGAAATTATACACCTGTGGCCATGGAGGTGATTGGAACACCTGAATCCAATGATTTGTAGGGGTGTCCTAGTACCTTTAGCAACATAGCGTATATGCCACAGTCCTTGTACTCACAAAATACTGTATATACTGAGCCACAAGTGACAGTCCCACGACACCCCTGAGCCTCAGGACAAAGAATAATTTTTAAAAATGTACCTCTTCCATTACATATTTTTTTCTGCACACAAAAAACAAACACATTGCCTGAGCTTACCTTAAAGAAGAATGTAATTATGACTAGCAACTGTTGAAACAATGAACAGGGCTATGTAACATACAATAGAATTCAGTGGTCAGGGATTTGGGAGGGAAGAGACCCAACAAGGCCCCAGAAAGGAATATTATGACTGGCTGCCAAGGACAACATGTGCTCTTTTTTCTTCCTGGCAGTGACCAGTATAGATCTAAGTGTCCCCAGCAGTGACCAGTACAGATCTTAGTGTTCCCAGCAGTGGCCAGTATAGATCCTGGTATCCACAGTAGTGACCAGTACAGATCTCAGTGTCTCCAGCAATGACCAGTGCAGATCTCAATGTACCAAGCAGTTACTAGTGCTGATCTTAGTGGTTGCTGTGCTTCAGCTCTTCTGGCTTGGGATGAGCTTCAGTGCCTCATTATATGGTCAGCCCTGCTGATACCACTGGACTTGAGGGGGGGGCAGGGCTTTAATCTGTGGGGGCACCTGCACCCTCCTAGGTCCAGCGGCCATGGCTTGCATCCTCTTAGCATGGGGTGTAGCAAAATATCTCCTTGACTTGCCTCTCTTCTTGTTACTTCCCTTTGTTATTGTTTGCAGTCTAAAAAAAATAATATGCCCTGAAATGACTGAAGTATTTAAATATGTAAATTAATTGGCTCAGTAAACAGTTAAATGACTTTTGTTGTTTGCACTGTTACTTCTAACATAAAGATGGAGATTTCCTCTGGAATCATACAGTACTGGATGAGGCTGCTGTTATGGTCCATTGCCATAAGGCTTTGGGATTGACTACCGAATGGCCAAGCTGAGAGTCCCATGGTGTGCTATGTATTGGAAGTTTCCAATGGGTACCCTAAGAAGGATCCCATGTACATAGTGACCTGGTAGGCCTAGGGGACTAGACGTCTGCACTTAGTAGGCCCAAGCTGGTTCCTGTGTCTCCCACCTCAGCCTGCAATGTATTACACTTACTTTATGGTGTGAGTAATGAAAATAGCAATAGAATATATTGTTGCTGCAATACTTTCGATTAGTAGCTGATGTGAAAATAAGCGACATGGGAAGGAAATCTCTTCCTGGATGCTTTCAGAACATATTCCCACTGCTTGGTGTATTATACCAAGTTAGGCCCAACACATTAAAATCCATCTATATAGTTAGGCCTCATGCACACAGACATTAAAAAAAACTCTCCTAGAAGCCTACCTCCTGGCAGCAGCATTTCTACAAAAAAAAAACATCTGATGCTTATAAAAGTATATAATGTTTTTACAAGCATTTAGATATGTTTGCAAGCATCAAGCGCTTGGGCATTAATTCATTTCATTGGCCAGAACAATAATTTATTATGACCACTGAAATTAATTAATGCTCAAGCGCTAAACGCGCCTAGCGTTAACACGTTTAAATGTGTTTAGATGCGTTGAGCTGCATCAAGTGTTTTTTTCTGCCAAAACGCTGCTACTCCTGGACTCACTGGCCCTGGGTTTTTTTTTTCCTGCTAGTAAATGCTACTGCTACTAAAAGTCTATGTGTGCATGGACACAATGGATAACATGGAGGGCTGTTTGGAAGCAGTAAAAAATAAAAACACCTGATGCCCCTAAAATTATCTGCAAAAATGCTCTGTGTACATGAGGCCTAATGCTTATCGGGCAAAACCAAAAGTTGTTTACACAGTTCTGGCAGGACCCTATTTCATTACCTGCAGCTCCAGATGCTCCCTGAACATATCAGAGAGCCATTACTTATGCGCTATTTTGTTGTCAGTCAGCTTGTCCACGTGATTATACAAGGTTTTCTAAAACTAATGGGACCAAGGTTGAATGGTGCTTTGAGAAACCTCCTCACTGATTTCACCCATAACCAAGAACAGAGGCAGATCACTAACTTTGTCAAGAGAGATGTCAACTAACTGGAGAAAAGCGACACAAAGAAGTGAGCTAACAAGCAACATCTGAGTGGAAATTATTGGTTGTTATGGTGACATGGCTGTGCAAACCCAAATGGCCAGCTTTAATCTGCTTTCAAACATCTAACCTTTAAAACACAGTTTGTGGTGAATGTACATTAAAAATAGGAATAACGTTACAATAAGCAGCCTTTCCAATTAAAGTGAACCTGTCTCTTTAGGAACAACAAAATATAAACTGATGACATGGATAAGGTGAAGATCCTTTTTCGTGCCTCTGCTGTGCGGGAAAGGCTATTCTTCGCAGGAAATTATTTGGCACCTCCTGGTAGTGTCAAAGCACATCTGTGCCCTCCTATCTTCCACATATTTCTATTGGCTAGAGAGACAACACATCAAACTGATGGGCCAATAGGAATGCATAGAGGTGGAAGGGAACGATAAAGCAGGTTGTGTCAGAACTTTGAGGACAACCAAGCCACTGAAGCTGCTTTAGATATGTGGAAGCACTTCTAGCTGCCTGCACTGTGTACCTGTCAACAGCTATTTGACTTCTTCAAACAAAAGAGTTTGGAGGATATGTGCCAATGTGGGTTCATTTTGTGAAATGTACTGGTGAGGTCTTTAGGGGACTGAGTTAAATAAATAGGCAGAAAGATAGATGGGGAATATTTGTTGATATTGCACAGAATAGCACATTCTCTGTTTCATACATATACAACAGGTATAATTTTATGTAAAATAAGTAGATAAAACTGTGATATGTATTCAGGTATGTCAGATTCCCTGATGATCAACATTACTTCCCAAAGACAAGCAGTCCAAACACAGTAATACAGATAGAACAATGATCATAGGCTAAACAAGGATTCTGAAGCGGCAGAGCAGATGTCCTACTCATTTGCTATCTCAATACCATAAAACAAACTATTTTTTACTACATATAATTTGAACATAAAATATTTTAAAAAATTGAGGTTTACGTGTTTTTCATGGTCAATGGAAAGAAAGCTAGTGGAGAGAGCAGTGCAGTGAACAGGCAGGTGCTCTAGCTGTCAATCACACCTGCGTGCCTCAGGCTAAGGAAAGATCTGAGTGATGTGAAGGATGGGAAAATGAATGAGAGACAGGAAGCATGACCCTTTGCACCACAACTCTATCTGATAACTAGACTTTGTCTACTCATGATAAGATTAGTGTCACAGGCCACTTGTTTATTTATGAAGCCTAAGTAGTATACACAGTGCTAGAAAGCTGCAGGGAGTTATTGTAAAGAAGCACAATTATAATTACTACTACATTTCTTACTTCTATTGTATTAACAGTAGCCATACATGGCTACATTTCTCTTGTTCAGCCCACAGGGCTGAACAAGAGAAATCACCCACAATTTCCCCTCATCCACAATAAACAGTGTGATGGAGTAATCTGCAATGTCAACTATTTTATTTTGTTTGAATACCTGAACAGTGGCTGGATCTAACAGGATCAGTAATGAGCTCAGACCAGGATCTGAACCCATGTGTGCTAGCCTGTCAATCATAGGGAGAGAACAGACTTGATGGGGACCATCCTGTCAGCCCCAGCCCAGCTTCACATAGGTCAACTGACAAATCGAAGGAGCCAGGTGGAAAATTGTCATGGCATTCCTCACTCCACAGCTGCTGTGGGGTGAGGAATGCCCAGGCCACAGATGATTGACCTGTACAGGTGACAGCTTCCTGGCAGGCTCATACAGCTGGGTTTGTATCTTAGCCCAAACATGCCTGAGCTCATCACTTGATAGGATATTGTCATTGTTCAGTGGATAATTTACCACCTGGCTCCTTCGATTTTTCAGCCAATCTTTGTGGAACTGGGTAACACCAAGAGGATGGTCCCCAACAGGTCCACTCTCAAGGAGAGTGGATCTGATATGGAACTCGTGTCTGTGAGTCCCTATGAGGTTCTACCCACCCAGTTTCAAAAGCTCAAAGTTGCTGCAGTAGAAAGAAGGGTGATTGGTCTTATGGACACACCGACCTCAATGTGCCTCCACATGCGGTACATGCCCCAGATTTTTGTACCTGTCTTCAACAGGTACATGAATCTGTTGCCTGCACCATTTGTCATGTGGAAGCATGTTAGAATTCTAAAGAGTGTTTTGGACATTATTTATGAATTTCCATGACTGTGCTGCAATTACTAAAGCTGTCCATACTCCACTTGAATTTCAACCACTCCTTCAAGCAGAATATGCCCTTGTCTGCATTTCATTCTGATAAAAATGTATTGTTGAATTGACTTCTGTTAAAGGAACCTGTGGAAAAGTTGCTGGCCGAACAACGTCTACATTCAAACAGGTGAAGGCACTGTTCACTTATTCTGACAGCCGATATCACCATCTATCTAAATATAATAGCCCGGTAGAAGCAACGTGTCCATCCTCACTGTAAGGCCCCTTTCAGACAGACGGATAACCGTTGCCCAGTGGGGGAACTTTCCGCTGATCCCCACAAGTGCTTGACAGGTCTGTGTCCACTCCACTGCTGCAGAGCCGACACAGACACAGCCCGCTGTTTTCTATGAGGCGGACTGCCTGTCTGTTTCCACCTGACTGTCATCCAGAATGTATCCCATCCATCTGTTTTTGGCATACAGGATCAAATGGGCAATGGATCCCCATCCATCTGTTTTTAGCATACAGGATTGGATGCCAGCGGGTGTCAGTGGACACATGTCCACTAACACCCATTGGTTCATAGAGAGCTATGGATGATCCAAGTAGGTC